TGAATTATTCTGTATGCATTCCTTCTAACAGGATTTACAAGCTCTTTATGCCTGATGATACAGGAATGTATTATTTCTGCCTGATTTAGGCAGACCCAAGCATTCTGTTTCAGAAAAGGATCAACCATTTGTAATGCTCCTCAAATGCATTTCTGAGTCCCAGAGAGGATTTTCAGCTGTATGTACATGCCAGCTGAGTTAACGTGACTCCAAGTACTGCGAACGTAACGCGCTTCGCCATGAACCGGTTCTCAAACGGGGCCCTGTATTCAACCAAGTCCCTACCCAAGTAAGCCCTTACCTTCAGCCTGTTCAATTCAGACTCCTGGTTTTTTAGAGCGCTCTCATACTCTTCTCTGCTTCCATTAAGATTTTCATTTTCCTTTTCCAACTGGCTCTGTAAAACGAAGATTGCTTAAATGCTACATACGATTACTCTAATGCTTCGTTTAAACAAAGCACACATGGAATGCTTTGTTCATGTTTAGTTTCTCAAGGTACGACATCCGCTATGCTAACGCTAGGAGTGCTGAGTAAGAACATTCAGGCAACATGCAAGGTCTACAAGCCGTGCTAAAATCACGCTCCGAAGGCTCGGATGGCCCACTGAACAGTTCCTGTACTTACAATCTTGTGCTGAGTAGCCGTTTTATCAAATTCCCAAGCTGTTTCAAGAGCAGCAATTTGAGACTCCAGCCCAGTAACTTTCTGGTCATACTGATGTTTCTCACTTAAAATCTGCTGCTGCAGTTTACTTCTTTCATCCTCCAGATCAGTGTGCTGAAGAGAAATAAAGAACATTGTGTTAATAAAATGGTATTTTGAAGCTCTGACAAAAATCAGATATCGTTCCACGAGACACAAACTGGAGCAACACTATTCCTTTGGCAGCAGCATCAGGTACTCATGCATACACAGTAGTTGAGGACACAAACAGCAAGAAAACACTTAAGCAACAAAACACACAGACAAACGAGTGTGCCTAGGGATGCTGAAGACTGATCTGCTACTGGTCAATGAAACATCATGCAGCACACTCACCAACTTCTGGATTTTCAGATCCTGCTCAGCAGCTACTTCTTTGCTGTTTTTCAATGTTTCTGTGGCACTCTGTAGTTTTTGTTCCAGTTCTTTATTCTAAAATGTAACCACATATTAGATTCTTTACCCACTGGCATCCTCGTTATTAGAAAAAATGCACAGAACATGGGATGACCCAGCTGGGAAGGTAAATGTTAAACCACAACACCACCTGGTTCAGAGACTGACAGACTACCTGACACACGCTGCTTTTCAGAACTCTTCACCACAGCACTACCCCGCAGCAATGCCCGCACTTCAGCTCTTCGGTTCTCAGGGTAGGGAAGATAGGAAATATCTAACGGCACAACCTCTAGGCCCTTCTCCACCACAGGAGGAGGGGAGATGACCGGAGACGCTCATCAATTAGGCTTTTGAGACTAAATATGACATGTAGTCTCAGCCTTGGCTGAGAGCACAAGCACAGTGAGGGGAGGAGGTACAGGGCATAGAGGGGCTGGAAGCAGTAGGAATTTGTAGCGGGAAAACTAAAAACTTGCCTGTGTTTCCAATCGGTTCACTGTCTCAGCGTGATGTGTTCTGTCCATTAGTACCTGCTGCCTGGTTTCATCCAGTTGCTGCTCAAGAGTAGCTTTCTGAAGATTTCATCGAGGTGAAGAACAAGAGGAAGGATGGACAAAGAGATGAGATTTTTTTTAATTAAGGTTTTCCCTTACATGTCATTAATAAAGTCAAACTAAAATGAAGCAGTTGTATTGATGAGCAATACACCTTTGCTCTTGGGAACCAGCAAGTTTGAGGCTACTGCACAGGGTGTCCTTGGATCATGTTGCTCTGGGGATGACATTAAGAGTGGGAAATCCGCTGGCATCCTGCCATGATCCAGATGTAAACTTTAATCAGCAGCCAGGTCATCATTTTCTAACCCAGACCAAAGTTTAATGAATTAAAAGAAAATTACTTTGAAAGCATAGCTTCTTCTGCACCACAGCAAACACACAAGCAGAGAAGGTAAAACTTCTGCCAGTTTCCAAAAATGTTTTGCTGCCTCTACATGGACTTCCAACTGGCTCGAGTTTGCTCTCCCCAGCTCACGTGCCAGAGCAGTATCAACTGGTGTGTCTCACAGGCAGGCCTGCCACGGCAAAGCACACGTGTCTCCCCAGCCTATAACCGCATGATTACCTCCTTGAGTAGCTCCTGCACGTGTTCATCCCCTGAAAGATTTCTTTCTAGCTTCTTTTCCAAGGCAGACACTTTCTCCTGCAGCTGTTCAGTAAGCTTGTTTCTCTCAGCAAATTCAAAAGTCACCTGTGAGGACAAGAAACCAGAGAATCTTTTTTCTAGCGAAGCTTTCAGGTAATCCACTGTGGTCTGATTTTAAGAAGTGCCACTAGAAAGAGAAAGCTCCTATCTGAAAAGACAGTACGATCCTAAAATGCTTTCTAAGACACCCAATTTCCAACTCACAGTGCATTACCCAAGTGTACACCTTTACACCAGCCAACAGCAGATGCGTCTGAAAACACTTAACCTTTTGCTTGTGCTGTTCATATTCCACTTTCAGAGATTCGTGCTCCACCTGTAGCATTTCCAGCCTCTTCTCACAACCAGAACCAGCAACTCGAGCCTAAAAAATCGAGAAATGACTTGCTTTGAAGCTTTGATTTCCAAACCCACGTAACTGGTATCTAATCTACCCTCTGCGGACAAGGAGCTCTTTGAATCGAATCGCACTTCGCTCAAACTTACATTTTGCAGGTCTACCGAAAGCTGCTGAATGACAGTTTGTAGCTCCTGTTCTCTGAACTCCAGAGCAGTGATCTTACTTTCTGCATTTGTCTCGGCTGTCATGAGTTCATCTCTTCACCGAAAAAGAATAAAAAAAAGTGACACACTGTTCCAGAAAAAGACTCTTTAGCAGCTAATTTTGCTTCTTAGGAAAACAGACTAGGCAACGACAAGATTTTCTTGTCCTAAAACCAGCCACTGCTTGATTACATATTTTCCAAAAAAAGTGACAGTTAATCATTCAAACCATGAAAAAAAGAAATCATAACAAGCTTAAGAAAATCCTACACAAGTACTACTTCTAGTGGCTTGAAAGGAAACATAGACTTGACATTTATACACTGGCACACCAGAAGCAGCTCCTCAGTCAGCTCACTACATACATAAACTCTTGCAGAAAGACAGAGCTGGGTGTGACATGGAAGCCTGGGGGGAATGAAGACGCTGCTCCTCAGGAAACACCCCGTTCCTACCTCTGTGCCTCCAGCTCCAAGAACTGTTGCTGCAACTCTCCAAGATCTTTCCTGAGGCCGGACGACTCGCTGCTTGTGTCCTGAAGCATCTCCTTAGTGCGGGTCAGCTCTCGAGTGCACACCTCTAGCTCCTGCTCTGCTTTGCTCAGTGATTCTTCCTTTTTCAAAAGCTGAATATTAGAACATTAACTCTGACAATACAGATGAACTGGTAATACCGTGGAAGTCTTCTCACTGAAAGGTGTCGCTTTTATTAAGTTATGAGCTGAATTAAGTACTAAGTAACTCCCAGAAACGTCACTGCTGAAGAGAGCTATGTGACAGTGTATGCCAGTACCAACTGCTGGGGGCTTTGACACTGACCAAGGCTCCATACAAGCACTAAGGCAAAAAAAATGAATGCAGAGCTACCACTAACTGGGAATTCTAACAGAAATTTAAGGAAAGAAAAAAAAAAGCCGTTGTAAATAATCTTACCATGTGTTTAACTTTGGCAATTTCCTGCTGCTGAAAGCCCTCCAGTTCATCCATTTCATCTCTTTTTTGGAAAAGATTCAAACTCTGCTCTCTCATTTCTTTCAACTGCGTTTCAAGCATTTTTTTTTCCTGGTAAACCAACAAAAACAAAAGGAATGAAGAATATCTGTATGCTCATTTCAAGTCAATGGGAGTTCAGTTCAACGCTCTGGGACAGGAACCATGTCCTGCAGCCCTAAGGCGCTCAGAGGGTGCTGCATGCAGAACCAGCCACTCCTCCCCACTCATGTTACAGCCGGCAACCTGGAGCAAACTACCAAACGTCAGACATCTCAAAAAACCCCATCTGATTTCACTGCAGTGCAGCCAATGATCACCTAACTGAACTCTTTAAAAGGGACAGCAAATAGCAGCATGATTAGTGTATTCATAGTCAGAAATCCTTTAAAACAGACTAAGCTAAACAGCTGAAACAACTACAGTCCTGCATTAAAAAACCCCGACCACACCGTTTATTTTATGAAACATGACCTCAGACAAAGTCACCACCTCCTCCCCTCTAATAAAGGAAACCATTGTTCCACTGTAGAGAATTGCATCTTTCTCATCATAACCCATCGTTCTTTACTTCCCCACCGAAAAATGATTCCAGAAACATCTCCTGAAGCACTGGGGCTGGTAACGAAAGCAAATCCCTGGCCTCTCCCACTGAACAAAGATCAAATAATAAGAAGGGCTGAACAGAGTTGAGCTGTATGTAGGAAGTGTGCCGGCTCGTGTTTACAAACACACACACACACACCCACCCCAAAAGTTAATTACCTTTTCAACCTGACCAAGTTTTTCCATCCACTCCTGAACATGAAAGAAAGAAGCAGAAAATCAGAATCAATTTGCAGACTTTCAAGGACATTATAGCAAAAAAAAAAAAAGTTGGTATTGTTGACACAAATATTAAGTTGTGGTAATGAGTAAAAAACTAATCAGCCAAAGTAACAGCTGGTGTTTGGATATATAAACACAGAGGGCTCACTTACGCCACCTGAACACGTAAGCTTTACGCAAGCAAAATGCAGTGACAGTGACCACAGGCCCACTGCGGGGGAATCTCAGCGAACACCTTAACCTTCCATCAGGAATGGCGTGGGCTCTCCTGTGAATGCAGCGCGAACGGTCGGAACAGCGACAAGTCCTACACCGTTTCTGGCACATGAATTCAGCACTCCCTCCTTCCCTCGCCGCTGGCACGCGGCGACACAGTGCCAAACACTACTCCAAGTAATGCTGACCCTGCTTAGAACAGCAAGCTCATGTGCCTGCATCCCTGCAGACTGTCAAAGTTGAGTTGTTCAGGTCGTACCTGGTCCTTCTTTTCCAAAGCCAAAGCCATTCCTTCGGCCATCTTGGCTCGACTGGCCTGGTGAGCTTCATTCTGCTCCTGAAACTTCCTCATGGAGGCTATCAACAGAGAATCACCAGCTGTATTAAAAACTCAGCTTTGAAAACTGCTTCTCAGTTTCCTCGAAGCTATTTATAACTTTAAAGAGCTGCTTCTGCCAGCAATTAGCCCCGTCTTGACTCTTCAGCACGAATGCTGCGCCCCTCACTGCCTCAGTGTGCGCCGGACAAATGGTAGAATAACAGACGGTACAAGTGCTGCTCCTCCCTGGACTGTAACAAAGCTTTAGGCTTCAGAAAGGTCCCTCCTGCCTGTTAGCCCCAACTCTGGCAAAAGGAGTATAACAGCACCTTCGCTGAGCAGCCAACACGCTACCGCTGCTCCTCACGCTGTAAATAATGCAAGAGCTGGTGTTCTAATCCTCTGCAGCCCGGAGGAGCGCCGTGTGAAAGGGCATGATGATCCTACACGAACCCGCTTCCTTCCCACCACAAGTCCTCCACTTACAAAAAAACCAAGAATGAAGAGTACGTACAATCCTGATGCTTTTCTAATGCATTTTCAAGCTTCTCTTTTATCTTCTGCAAGTTTCGGATCTGATCAGCATAATCTTGTGTGAGGAGGGAGCACAGACCAGGAATGAACAGACATTGGGGAAGGAAAGTTTTAGGGGAAAAAAAAAAAAAAAGAAAAGAAAAGAAAAAAGGATGAGTGGAAATGACGATGATTTTCTCAACCAGAAAATCATTCCTGCCTGAGGAAACCCTGGGTGACCGTCACAATGAAGATAAAGAGTTTGGAACGGCCCATGGGGAGAGCAGTTGGTACAAACAGGGGGCCTGTCCTGGGTGCACAGAAAGGGCAACACCGGGGCGTGAAGAACTACTTTCACTTCATCCAAGAACAGGGATCTGTTGCACACTGTTCAGGAAAGGTCTCTCTCATCGGAGGACGCAAGGATGGGACAATTCAGACGCTCGCACCCTGGTGTGTACCGCTCCTTGTTCCAGCCACAGCGTCTCCCAGGCCGAGCCCTGACTGGTGCTCCGACTTGGCGAACAATCCCGCGGTTTTACCGCCGCGCCCACCCAGCAGAGCTGGCAACGAAGGCAGATTAAGGAACCGAAACACAGACGCACACACCTTGGAGAAGTTTACGAACAACAGAAAGGGGGATTCGCTCGCTGATCACACTGCTTGCACAAGTCTCCGGATACTCAGGGCCTCGCGCTCTCGTAAGAAGCCCCAACCAGCACTTTTAAGTCTACCTTATGCAAAGAGGTGAACGCTTTGCCCTTTCAAATTGCAATGGGAAATCATCTCTGAATCCTGCATTTTCTGGAACTGAGCAGGAGCTTGGTAAGGTTCCAGAATAAATTAAAGTAACAGGGTTGTAACAAATCAATTTCCAAACCCACCTAAACCCATGTATTTTTCATAAATTAAAACACTTAAGTTCAAAGGAAAATATTTCCTTAAGTAATAGGTTTTTATATGTATGAAGACACATACCAGAGAGCTTGACCTCCAGTTTTCTTATTTGTTCATTTCTTCTGAACAACTGGGATGAGAGATCCTCCCTAGAGCTGCTTCCATCAGAAGCCTTGGCAGAAAAACAACACCCAGGTAACTCACAAAATTCAGAAAAAGCGATCCTGCTAACTCTAGGATAATAAACACTATCCCACCTAGGCATAACGCTTCCGCTTTTCTCATGAAGGGGAAGGTTGTACCAGCACAGCAGAACGTATAAAAAAATGCTGAAGAACAACAGTAAGGGCTTAAATAGCCAGGGCAGCAACTCCGGCGTGTTCCATAAAGGCACGTGTTACAAGGAAGCTACAGCCAAAAACTATGGTTCAACCTGATCCCTGAGGAGACAGCGTAACCGCATGAGTAGGCGTGGGGGAAAATCAGGCTCTACAGATTTCAGGATGGGTCAAAGCACTGGTCGTTTGGAAAACAACGTAAGGAGAAAAGAAACAGTGAGGCCGTTCACGTGGGATAAGCTCGCTAAAGCGCTGACGCAGCCACCGCTCCACTGCACGGCTGACTGACGACTCGAGCTCTATGGGGGCTCCTGCTCCACAAAAATCAACGTTAAGAGCAGTTAAATGAATAATGCTAAAACAATTAATTCTTGAGGGTTTTTTGAAAACCACTCAAGACTTCAGGTACCGTCACGATTTGTCTTCTGTTCTCTAAACTCACAAAACGGTAAATAAAACTTCTACAGGAGAATTTAAATGCAAAAAATTCTCAGAAAAACACAAGACCAATGTATTTCTATTATAAAAATGTATTCAAACATTAGGAGTTCCAACTTTCTGCTTAACAGAACTGGAATTTCAGCTGAGCTTCAGAAAAAATTACTTAGGACTCAGATGGGTGGATAACTTCTCCATTTTGCAGGCAGCAGAGCAGAATCATAAGGCGACTCCCTGCAATACAGCGGGTGCCGTTGGCTTCAGCAGCGGTGCTTAATCCAGCTTTTGAAAAACGTGACAGCCACCAACGGGCAGAGGTGCCAGAGCATCATAGGATTTCATTTAACCCATGCGCTCCCGAAATTATACAGCTCGCTTAAACAACGCCTCGCAATGGGGGTTTAAACCAGACATTGGAGGAACTACAAGAGCTCCGAGCGCAGCAAAACCTAACACATCGTGTAAACAATACGCCGAGCAGGGAGAGTACCAGGACACCAAGAGGTACACGCAGGTCCATAGCAAGATCACAGCTAACCACTACCTAGCTTGCTTTCCAACTGCTTCCATCGTTAGTTTTACAAATAGGTACCTTACATGTTACTACAGCGTTATTCAAGGGTTTATGTCTGTTTAACAATGACCCGTATTGAGACAGCTTTGTCGCTCATGTTTACGTGGGAGTACAAGCCTCCTAGTAACTCATACACTGGAATTAAATGGTTGTTTCTAAAGCCATAACAGAAATGCAGTAATAGACATCAAAATTCGAAGCAAGGGGTAACTTACAAAGTCATCTCCGGAGTCTGCTCCCACAGACGTAATCGACTCCTTACTGACAGACCTGGGTATCCTGGCAGCTCCTCCTGGCCTGGGAGCAATAGCCGCCTCTTCTGCTATCTTCTTCTTCAGTTTTGCAAACATTTTACTGCTCTATAGCACTGAAATAGCCAGGGACTTCGAAAAGCCACTACCTCCAATACAGTTAATATACTGATGCTCTGTTTAAAGGTTCCAGATGCCAGCATTTAATTCTGTGCCCCATCCGCTCGGCTTTATTGCATTTCTAGTTCCATTAAAGCCTTTGTAGACTAACAGTACCTGCAAATCAAATATAAAGGGTTTCCACACTATAAATTTCTACTCGTATTAAACATTCAAGGATAACTAAACGCCTTTTTGGTATCACGCCTGTTCCAATATGCTAAGAAAAAAGCTACCCGGAGCAGAACCCTTTAAAATACACCCCAAATCGTGTGTGCCCGGCGGCACGGCTGGCCCCCGCCGACACGGGCCG